ACAACAACAACCCTGTGAGGTAGGTTGGGCTGAGAGTCTGTGACTGGCCCAAAGTCACCCAGTTGGCTCCATGGCCGAGCGGGGACTCGAACCCAGATCGTCTGAGTCCCAGTCCCACGCTCTTAACCACTACACCACACTGGCTCTCAGTGTCTCAGTTTAGGGAGACCTTGAACAATCCTTCTACTCAGACCAGGCAATTTCTTCCTTGAGCTGCATGGGGCTGTCTCCATGGAGCTGGGTTGTCAGTAGAGAGTGGGTAAAGCCCAATACTTGAGAACAAGTGTAATTAGATGTAATGGTTATATTCTTCTCTAATCGTGCTGGATTAGCACACTAACAGTATCTATTGTGTGGAGAAGCAACTTAACAAAACATGTAAGTTGTAAGTTTCAAAAGCAGTCAGCTATGAATTGACTTTAAACAGAAAGCTTTATGATATTCAACACCAAAATGAAAATTTAAAATTTAGTAAAAGGACTAAAGTGCCTACCGAACAGGGCTCTTGTCTTTTCTGAATGGACTTTTGCTCCTTGATCTTCGTCTGCTGTGGAAAACATATAAGAATTATGAAGGTAATAACTAACAAGAGCTACTTACATGGTCATAGTTAAAGAAGAAAAATAAACCTTATTTTGATGCTGTGTGGCAGGCCAATCTTTCCTCTGATGGCACTGTTGAATTTAGGTCCAGAACTAGGTTTAAAAGCAAAGAAAATACTATTAACAAGAAGCATATTAAAGTGCTAATTAATTTATGTTACTTTACAAGAGTTAAACCACATTCCCATAACCCCAAATCTTGCCAGAACCTATATAATAATATTGGATGGCACACACTATGGCACCTTAACAGTTAATTAACTCACAATGGGCTATTGTGTCATCTTAACCAGATCTAAGCTATTAATCATGGAAAATCAAAGAGCTCAGTTTTCAGGCAGTAAAATAAATATATAAGAACCCACTGTTCACAATACATCAGCAACACAATACATCAGCAAATTCTCAGTTATTTGTGATTAAGAACCAATCGTTAAATCATAGTGCAAGGGTCACATGTGATGACAACCCATGATTCAATGACCACCCATACTCTGGGTCATCATTATGTGCAAACCAAGTCACTAGATTAGTAGTGCAGATCCATCACTGCCAAAAATCTTCAACATAACAAAGGAAAGAAAGTGTTACATTGCTATACAGACCCAGTAATGCATATTGTATTTACTTTTAAAAAATTCTCTCCCTGATAGGATATGTTTAATTTAAAGGTTACTCTAAATTCTTCTACTTGGCTAGAAATTACATTCTCTCCTATTCAACAAGCTTTCACTCAGCATCAAAGAAATTAACAATGAAGTGGTATTTTTATAAAACATACTAAGGACTTCTGTAACGGCCTCTAAATCGACGTTCTCTGCTTCTTGAACGGCTCCGTCGCCGTTCTTTACTTTTACTGCGCTTCCTCTCCCGACTTTTGCTTTTCTTCCTCTCACGATCACGGCTTCTTTTGCGATCCTTGCTTCTGCTCCTCTTCCTGTCATGACTACGACTTCTGCTCTTGCTCTTTTTTCTCCTGAACATGGCAGAAAACAACAATAAAATCAGGTATGCTGACTTCAAAAGCAGTGAACAATAAAAATCACTCAACACCAGACTATACAGAATGGGACAGGTAGGCACCTCAATCCCGCCCCCCACCATCACTTAAGACAAATCTAAGTTTTTAAAAATACATTACATATAGTAGTATCCAACTGATACAACTAACTTATATATCTGATGTAGGGTTAGTGTAAGAGAATCCTAGTAACACAGAAATAATCTAAACTGGCACAATGGTTTTCCTCAGAAAATTTTTTAGCATTGCACTATGTCAACCACATAAGCACATTAGACCATTAAATAGTGCTCATAGTATCTTGTAAACCTTTCTAATTGAGAGATAATGTCATACGATCCCTTCAAGCAAAAGGAACACGATGTAGTCTTCTAAGTGACTACACAGATTCATAACCATATCCTCAACCAGGATGAACATATGGCTGTCTCAATTGCTAAAAATTATCTCTCCCTCCTAGAGTAAGTAGGGAAGAAAAATCCAGTCACAAAACAATTTATAAAAATACTACCCTTCAGTATACCTACCGAGTTCCTTCACAGAAAAGTCAGCTTCATAGTTGATTCTGTACTATTCATTGAATGAGACTTTTTCACTCTACTGCCTGCATGTGTTAGAAATGTTCCAAACGAAGAAGGAATAAGATCCATTGGAGCCAGTAGCTTGGATCCAAAGGTGCCCTTCCACTAGTGGAAAGCCTCTTCCACTCACAGAAGGGCTGTTTCCGACCTAGCAGAAGAGCATTGCATGAGAAACCCCAAATCAAAGGAAGTTCTTCTGTTTGCACTAATGATTTTTGAAACTATCTTACAACTCAGTAATTTTCCTTCCTCTATAGTAGTCACAATTGTTTTCTCCACACTGTAAACAAAGCCCCTAATATGTTCTGCTGCTGAACTAAGTGAGACCTCTCACTTGCACAAGAGTTCACAAGTGAAGTTGATAGAATGCCTTCCTCACTGAGTTATCTGGATTCAAGAAAGTAGTTTAAACACTTGTTATATAATTAAAGGTTTTAACCATTTACTGGTATCTCTCAAATTATATTATAAATGTTAATTGCACTCTTTTAAAGGAAAAGCACCCAATGGAATTGATGCAGAGACATCAAGACAAATGTCATGATATGCCCAAGTAACAGGACTATATTAACTAAAAATATATGCTCTGCACTCAGTGGGACCTCTGTACTTGTTACACTTAAAGCATTGGAGGACAGACTTCTCATTTGCAGAATCTGCTTTGTTTTTTTACATGAAACTTGAGGCCCACCAACTGAAACCAAGTGCAAAATAGTGGCTCTACCATAAGGAAGTAGACACACCTAGACTTAGAAGGATGGTCTGCTTCTGATAACATACTGCAGTCCAGAAATTTCTTTTCAGTATCTCAAACTAGGCCTTTGACACAAAAAGCTACTCCCAATTCCACATACACCCCAGCTTTGTTTCAGTAATTTAAGAGGCAGTACGAGTTTTTACTGCTGCAACTATTAAATAACAATGAGTCAGAAACTCGTGCAGCTCTATTGCAAATCATCCAGGAATCTACTTTCTGCCCACCTCTACTTCAGAGGATTTAGTCTGATACAATAATTGAAATTATAATAATTCATAGGCAGAATCAGCAACTCAAACACCTAGCTTGATATTAAGACAGATGTTATGGATGGCATTCCTTTCTGAAAGCAGGCATCCTGTGTAAGATATCCAGAACAGGAATCCTTTAAGGAAGTAACCCTCCTTCCTCAGATTCCCAAACCACAACCTGCCAATCTTGCTACTACTACCCTTCTCCCAGGGAAATGTCTAGTTTATCAACTGAATCATTTGAGAGTTCAGAGTAAATATTAATCACCCTCAAGCAAAGGGTTACCTGAAGAATTGTTGCAATACCTAAATCTATGTATACCTAAAACATATAAGCCAAATAGTTTAAGTTTGTCTTTTAAAGAGGTGGTTTTCTTCCTTTAAAACCTATTTTCTCTTTACCTAAAAAAAATTGAGTACTGCAACTATACACTGGGTATACATGTTAGAAATGCCAAGACATTTTTAAAAGTATACAATTGTCTTTGGGCAAACATGAGTACTCCTATGGAAGAATTAAAGGGTGCTCTGAACAGTCAGCAGGGCAGTATTAACCTTGGAGACACATTTTCACTTTCTGTTATTAGTATGACTGAATATCCCATTGTTTCTTGAGTATGCCACATGTCAACTCTTAAGTCTTGTCTAATAAGCTGATATTAAATTACCAGAAGTATTTTGCTAAGCAAACAGTAGCTTATAAATAACTTTATGTGAAAGCACAAACCAAGAAAATGAAGCAATCTTTTTATGCTCTAGTTCCAGTTCATACCTTATTCATACCATAATAAGTTATGAACTGGAACTCATACCAGTTCATACCAATTTTACCTTACGTTTAGCTAACGTTAGATAGTTTGCTTCATTTTTGGTCAACAGAACAACTGCATTATACTCTCAAAGCATATACAGTGGTACCTTGCTCACAAACTTAAACTGTTCCAGGACTCTGGTTGTGACCCAAATTAGTTGTGACTCAAGTCAAATTTCCCCATAAGGTTCAATGTAAATAAGGTTAATCTGTAACTATTTTTTTAATCAGAAAAATGTGAAACAAAGTGACAAAGAACAAGGTAACAAGGTGGAGAACACTAACCTAAGTGGGGGGAAGGTTATTGTTTTAAAGGAGAATCCCCCTCCATAAGGACATTGGGGAGATCTCTTTTAGGGGTTTTCTCTCTTGTTTCTTAGCTGCAGGGTCAATTTTGGTGAAAAATCTGTCTATGGTCACTTGTTTTTTGTATAGTCACTTGGGGGGGTGGGGAGATGGCAGTGATCATGCTGGTTGGGGGGGGGGAGATGGCCAAGATTGTGCCCATCTTTCCTGCAGGAGCCTGCCTGTGATCACGCACATCTTGGTCACCACCCAACGTGGAGTTCGCAACAACGTCTTTGTGATCCAAGGTATCACTGCACTATGTGACCAAACCCTTTGCTTTCCCTGCACCTCTTCTCCTGTACATCCCAGAAAAAGTAACCATATAAGCCATGGCCCATTTTTTGCACAATGCAATTGCATGAGAGCTGCTTTCTGCAGCATAAAGGATCAGTTCCTATATCTACCTTCCAGGCAAACAAAGGGACCAGTCAGAACTGATAGCTTATTTTGACCATGAGACCCTAAGCTTCCTCTATAGCCAGTCTGTCATCAGGCAGTATCCATTATCTTTTGGTCTAAATAATTCTTTTTTTCTAAGTAGATTTACGTAGCTTATGAACTCACTGAGCCTGGGCAAAATATTATCTGCCTAAGTACTTCTCAGTAAGGTAACTGTTCTTATTAAAATGCATCTAAGAAGTATCTAGCATACTTTTAAAACAATAGCATGCAAACAGCTTGGAAGTGTAATGTTCTGATTTTTGTTTAATCAGGGACTAAGTAGGCTAGAGATGACTGAAAGAGATCAACAGTAACACAATATAATAAACATATGAAATTAGAAGGTACTTCCATGATGCACATTATGTTTCAGCTGTAGTTTATATATAAAAATATATGTGGTGCCACAGTTTTGGCCCGTGCTGCAACCACAGTTTTCCCATTTTCCTTCCTATCCAATTGTAAATGGTGAGCATTCTATATATAGCTAGTGTTTAGAGACCAAATCACCACTAGACATCTTTCTACTAGTTCTAATAGTTACCATTCCTTACAAATGCACACACCATTTAAACTGTAGGTAAGCACCATTTAAGCTACATGCAAAATAGATACAAGTGTTTACAGTTTATTTTAAAAGGCAATGCTTGCATGAATAATTGATGAAAAACACATACAAATAAATTGCTTACAGCAATAGCATACATTACAGGCCAACTAGTCACCAAAAATTAAGCACCTTCCATTTCATAACTGGCAAATAAAAGTGCCCATATGTTAATAAACTATCATGTGACTTTAAGTCTCACAGTTGTTAAAATGGACATTTGGAGATACCATCTGTACAATTAACCTGAATGCAACCAAACTATTTTTTTACATGCAACCTTTGAAACTTAAGAGATTCTTGAAATCATTATGATGAGAACAGGTTAGTTTTTTTATCATTTATCTAAAGTATACAGCAGTGCACCACATCTTGAAACACTAAGATTTTCAACAGGCCACTGAAGGAGAACTTCATGGAACAGTGCCCTACTCTATGGAAGCAGTTTCATACCCTCTTTGTAGTGTCCTACCATATGTTGGCAAATCTAAATAAATCAACTCCTCCTCTGTCCAGGAGTACATTGTCTTGTTAATCATTACCTAGTGCTGGTATAATAAATAACTATGTAGTGGTATAATAAATAACTGATCTTCCTTCAACATTTCGTGGACTTGTGTGAAATTTACTTAACAGGCTTAGGCATACAGCGAAGTATAAATGGACCTCTCAGAACTATGACAGTATACTTAGCAGCACAAAGAATGAGAATGCTGTCTAGACAGATTTTCCTAAATATTTGGAAAGGAGCAGAAAACCAATTCAATGGAAAAGTCTCTTTCTGTTCATGTGAATAAAGAATTGCTTCAGAAAACCATCTTATTGTGTAGAAGAATGCATGCTTGCAAGCAACAAGAAAGCTATTTTTATCACTACCATATAAAACATAAGAATTCAGTGACAATAATCCCTAAAGCTAGCCCCATTGAATGTAATACAAGAAAACTCATGAGTTACTTAAGATCCAAAACTGAATATATGGAGGTATATGAGTAATGGGGTATAAGCTCACTTCTTAAGGCTATGCCACCGCTTCATGATTCTCTAGAGCAGAAGTGTTAAACTTCATTTCAGTTACAGACCCAAATACAATTTCAAAAAATTCCCAGAGTATTGAACAGGGTCAAAAACAAGACATGGTGGGGGCAGAATACCAAAACCACCAATATCTTAGCTTCAAGTTCTCAATAGCAGTAACTGATCCTTAGAAGAACCATTTTAGTTTTTTAACATGAAAAGGTCAGCACACAAACCAGGAAACCATGGTTTGAGAAAGGGTATGGGGTCATGGGAAGGAGGGGCATGACTATCTGAGAAATCCCAGAGAGCTGAATTTAGGCTTGAGGATCTATGTGCCATTCTACAGCAGCACTACAAAAGGGCAATTGCCAGGCTACTGTAATAAAGAACTCAAGCTGGTAAGCAGTATGTGTCTTTCCATGTCAGCACGGCTGACAATCAGAAGAATGTTATTGCCAGACCTAGATGACAGGATACTGAAGGAAGTGAACTGTAGCTACAAGCAAGTAAACTCTCAGTCACTGCTTTGCTATAATGAACAGACTTACATGAATGTACAAAGTTTGAGAATTTTGACAATAAAAACAGCTAATCCCACAAGTCCAAATGAGATACATCTGATAAACCTGATTTTGAGTTTGCTTTGAGTTTGAAAATTAAAATAAAATTTCCTTGGCCTACTGCCCATTTTAGGAACATCTGTCACTGCAGCACTGTTGAAGCTAACAGGGAACTTACTCTATATGTCCCTTAGATATGAAACTACTAAAAGTCCTGTTAGAACAGAATATATTAGCTACACTAACTATTTTAAAATGTTAAATCTCTTTTTGACTAATTAATTCTGACACAATGGCTATCAGTTTGGTGAATTAAGTCTTTTCTTGTTGCTGTGTGGTTTTTTGGGGTTGGTTTTTTTTGGTGGCAAATTACAAGCCTTCCCTTAATCTGCAAGTCTGTTTAAATATTCTATTAGTGTATACTATTCTGTATATCCTGCAAGTCCCTTGGACTGCAAGGCAATCAAACTGGTCAGTCCTAGAGGAGATCAACCCTGACTGATCTTTAGAAGGTCAAATACTGAAGATGAAACTCAAATACTTTGGCCACCTAATCAGAAGGAAAGATTCACTGGAGAAGAGCCTAATGCTGGGAGCAATTGACAGCAAAAGAAGAAGGGGACGGCAGAGAATGAGGTGGCTAGATGCAGTCACTGACGCAATCAGCATGAGCTTAAGTGGATTCCAGGGGAGGGTGGAGGACAGGAAGGACAGGAAGGCCTGGGGGAATGTTGTCCATGGGGTCGTGATTGGTTGGACATGATTTCGCAACTAACAACAACAAAAACAACATTCTGTATATGGTATTTCCTTGTTACGTTACTATTAAAACACAGTGCTCATAAGATGCTCGTGCAGTTGCTATCCTTCTACTCTGCCAAGCTTTGATGGGGCACATTGTGGCAAGGAATCATGAGCCTTAATATCAACAAGAAAGAAGCAATAGTAATAACTTCTGAGGCAAAATATGGCTAACCAATGCACAGTACCCAACAGCAAGCTAAATGGGGAATGTTTTTACATTTAACATGCCACAGAGAAGCCAAAACATTGCTCTTCGTAATGTATTTAATGTATTTATATCCTGTCTTTATATCAGCCTTTTTAACATGGTCGGTATTTTTGCTGATATTGTTTTAACTATGTGCATTGTTCTACATTCAGTATATTGAAAAAACTGTGCATTTGTTGTTGTATTTGTTTCTAATGTCATAAATTGCTCAGCACCCAGAGCTTTGGCTATTGAGCAGGACAGAAATGAAATAATAATATAGCAGTGGAATTAAAAATATCATTTTTAGGTATTTTTCAGTTTATCCAACAGCCTACAAAATAAAACCTCTTACTAAGTCTTCAAGATGAGAAAGATAGAACCTTTCTCCAACACCTAAGGTAACTGGCAAAGAGAGTACTTAGCATCTTCCAAGCAAGGTATCATTTAATGAAAGGAAGGCTGCCTGGCCAGTGCCTTGACATGTTTCTCACTGCTGCAAGGCCACGTTTGCTGTATTGCAGTTATACTTGGCTATAGTAAGGGGTCCAAGTAAGTTCACTGCAAGATTTATTGTGATAAATAAATACTGTTTCCAAAATAAACTACTGCTCAAATAAATCAAAACTAGTATGCAAATTTTAAAGGTTACAGTCAGTAATTTACTGTGAGACATTTCCTATCATATCCAAAGCAAGAGCAGTTACTACATTGGCTGTTGGCATTTTTAAAGATAGTTAAAAACAGTCCAATTTTTAAGAGAATCCTCTTATACTCACACACTATTACATAATTTCCTTTATAGACTGTTTTCTCCTGTTAAAGGTTGGTTTGCAGTCTTCAGATATGAATGAAGCATCAGTTTTTTCAATAAAAACATTTTGGTAAGCTCTATGTAGTAAAAATACTCATGCTATTCAGCAGATTTACCAATTGAAAATAATAACAAGCAAGGCTGGTGGAAAAATCTAGACAAGGGAGAAGGAAAAAACAGGGTTCTTCCTCGCCATTTTGTAGCAGTGGCTTCTTCCCCAATGTATTTTGCTCCATTTTCTACAAGTAAGGCCTAGACAAAGTAATTAAAATTACTCCATTAATCCTGGAAGCTTCCATTACTCCCATGAATTTAGATACATTTTTTCTCTTTTTTTCCTCACTTTCCTGACTCAGGGTACATTATCTTGAATAAAGCAAGCTACATCAGGTTCCCTTCTAGGCAAACATGTCATGTCTGTACTTTATACATAGACAGAACAAAGGGACAATGCAGGGTAGTTTTCATCTGCAGGAACTCTGCTGAACCTTATCATGGGATGTTAAAGTTTTTCAGCCCAAGGACCAATTCCATTTTGAAGAAGCTCTTGGGGTATAAGGCAAGGCCAAATACAAAAAAAGCACATTTTAGCTTAACACTCTTATTGCCAATAATTAAGAGATGCATTCCAACCTTTCAGAATGCAAACAAGGAAACTATCAAATGTTTGGCAGTTGGAGAAAAGGGGCATGGCTAACTGATGAATTCCAGAGAACTGGATTTGGTCCAAGAACCTGCCCCCTGAAGCTCAGGAATACAACCTCACATTTCTATAAGAAGGTCATGTAAGGCTGACTATTAACACATCTATTTCATAAGACTTCTTATGTTAATTTTGTTTATTTTCTGATGATTGCTAGCTATGTGTCCTCGAAAAGCCTTTCCCAAGGAAATGCCAATACTACTCAAGAGTTTGATTATTAAGCGATGTGAAGACTGACTGAGAACATGTCTTCTTTGTAGCAACAGAACTCAATGTATTATTAACCATATTGGCCTGGAACAGAAAAAACAAGCTCCATGCTGCCCCAATTATTAGTTAGATTTATTATGAGCTGAAGCTTCTTCATCTGATGTAGATTCACCTGTAAAAGTTACCGGTTAACACAGTAACTTAAGGTGACAGAGGACAGGGTTTTTTTTAAATGCTTGAACACTTACATGTCTTATTCTGATATTTAGTTGTACTTATTACTGAGCAATTCTGAATAGCTTTGAAAATTTGTCAGACAGAAAATGATAAAAAAGCAAGGATTCTGCACATACTTTTCTTACAGAGTGCTAAGGATAAAGTACATTTACTTGAAGACCACCGAGTAGAGAGGAGGCTGGGTGCCAAAGTAACTGATCTAGGACAATGTTTTCTTCAGAAGAGCAACATAACAAGCTCCCCACCACCCCCCACCACCATACTTACTTCTTGCTGCGCTCTTCATGGCCATTGGCACTGCTCAATTTGTTCTCATCCTAAGCAGGGTTGATAGAAGAACATCGTGAGGACGAAGTGGAAACATTTCAAGTGGTCAAAGGGGTAATGGGAATAGGGATAAGAAAATACAAAATGAAATTTTTAATTCTAAGTTTTACATTTAATATGGAGTGCTACTAATTAATGTAGACTTGTTTAACCACTTCGTTGATTACATTTAAGTCATACAATTAAATACAAAAATTACTATTAAAAAAATTGTACATACATCCTTAAATGACTTAAAATTATCCTGCAGTTTTCAGCATCGAGTGGTTAAATGAATAAAATGTTTTAAAAGGTTCATGTTTAAAAGCATTTCATGTACTATAATCCCTTTTGACCAGTACCAAGGCTATATCTCTGCCTAAGCCCCAAGCGGCCATGCTAGCAGCCAGCCACTATCGATTTCCTTTGACCGATGCCATTCCTGAGATCTTCGCCCATTTTCGTTGGAGGGTTGGGACTGTAAGAGCTTGATGCCACCTCTGTCACACATCTCGCCCTGAAGCAAACAGGGATTCACACTGCTTTAGTAACGTCGACTCCCAAGTCAGTCATCAATAATCCAACCAGTCCAGCCTAAATATTCCCTATTTCCAAACCTGTTTACATGGAAAATATCCATGTTAAACTTGTACACAAGATTCTTATCATTACAATTTATCATTTGCTTCAAAATATTAAGTAGCTATTAAATATTATATAAAACTAAAACATGAAAATTTAAAAGGTTACAAGCACTTGTCCAAAACTCATACCGTATAGCTGCACTAAGTGTACTCCAAAATGAACTAACAGTTGCTGTTATGTTTATTGTAGTTATCACACCAGTTACACCATGAGTTCAACTGCTACATTACTTAATTATATAGAGAAAGATTTATGAAGCCAGTGCTACTGCATGCATAATTTAACAGTTTCACCACAATCTGGTGAAAAACTAAATACTGCTGCCTGTTTAGATCAGAAACTAGGTATTACATATTCAGAAATTAAAGTTTCTAAAGTTAAGTGAATATTTAGAAAGTATTCTTCCACATGAATGACAGACTGTAATAATTTGATTTACTAAAATGTGAACTTTTCAGGGATCCAAGAATTTTGGAAAGGTCTTTCGTACAACAGCTGATTTTCACCTGTCCTGTTAAAGAGTAATCACCCGTATATCTTTTTAAAAAGCAGTCACTCTTCTTGCATTAAGCAGACTAAAGTTATGCTTGCCATGAACTTGGGGAAGAAGTTATTCTTGGAACCCTGCTATATGCCCAAACCACTGCATTCACCTTGTTGCTATACCAAAATTGAGCTGGTCGTTTTTAGGAGAGTGTTTTTTGTCTGTTGTCTGTTTGTTTTTACCTAGGGGGACCACGGTACAGCGATACGTCACTCAATTACTACCTTATGATTGACAGTTCACACTGGAATCAAAGGTGAATTCATGGGAGTAGAGGTGAGATATCGTTAGGCAAGTCTACAAAGAGAGATAGATGGGCATTTATTCATCACGCTGAAGTGAAACTACTGCACAATATAATTACATTAACAGCATATAGTTACTTGTAAGATACATGTAACGCATGTCCAATAAGATAAATCATGAGGGCTCCGGGGATGTTAGTTTACAGTTCAGCAGTAGTTTCATGAATAATGCTAAATGAATATTGCTAAAGACCTTATTAGTATGTTTTCTCACCTTCTTATAAGGAGCTTCTAGCATTGCTTCAATATCAATATCATCAGCCATTTTTTCAGGACACCTAGAAAGAAGAAGATCTTTTACTTAAAAAAGTACTTAACCAGATTGTTTTGAAAAATAATCAAGACATGTAATGCTTCTGATGGAAACAAAAGTACAGTGTGTTAGCTGTGTATCCCTAACAGTCCAAAAATTATGTCTCAATGAGGATATAGTAACTCCAGTCAAACATAGTGGTATTGCTATACATATTTTCTTAGCAGCCAGAGAAACAGCAAACCATCCTCACATGTTTAACAAGTACTCTATAAACAGCCACTGTACAGACAAGCATGCTTCCTAATAGCAAAAAATCTAGTATTATACTCCCTTCTTCAGAGTGCCATAATCTTGAGAAGTAATCCAAAAATACTTGTGCAAGTCAAACAATCAGTTGGGAGACTCCCACTCACCCCAAATTACTCATGTTTTACTTTTAGAAGGCTACAACATACTATTATAATCCTCTGTAGACTTTCTGGCTAATATAGATCAAAATTTCACAAAATAATTGCTGCATTCAGCTCAGACTGCAGTTGCTCTATAGCAGGGTTTCTCAACTTCTCTGAACCATGACGAGCCCAGGCTTCGTCAACGGGCAAGCAACACACAGGCCGCAGGCCCCAAGCAACCCCTAAAAGCAAAACAAGAACATTTTAAAGCACCCATATTAAATCTGCTTTGAGCTAATATTATGTTTCTTGAACCAAGATTTCTGTATTCATGTTAAAAATCCTCAAAAACTATCCTTAAACCATTCAAAACTTTATGAAGAATGAGAATGACTCTTGTAGGATACCTCTAGAGAAATAAAACTGGCCCTGATCTCTCCATTAAGCACATTTGGTGAAGTCTACTTTCACTTTAAGTGCTCTTTGCTCAAATATAAAGTTTGTTCATGTAAAAGATCTCCAAGCAATCTATTTGGAAGGCTCAAACTAATGCCATCTTGCTTTGTTGCCTTACCTCCAGGTTGTGGGAGACACATCACTATGATGAATAAAGCTCATTAGAGCTTCAGGTTAGAGGTTCCTCATGAATCTGAAAATTTCCCTTCCCCTGAAATCTGCAATGAATCATTGACTCCTTGGATCAAATATCCAAAATCAGTCAAACAGATTAGTTAAACTATCCTAGATAACCTCTTGTATGGAATCAAGCGATACAGATTCCCCACTGCAAGTTGCTAGTAAAATTCTAAATATGCCATATTGGTTATTATGGCAACAGCCTTAAATGAGAATGGGAATTACCAAAAGTTCTGTTAAATATGACTCCCAATATAAGAACAGAAATATATTCTTATGCAGGAGGAGATAATTTGCTTTGACTAAGTTATGTCACTGAATTGAAAATCCAGTAACATACATTATTGCAATAAATAGCTATGACAGATTAAGATTTTCCATAAAATACTTACAACTTTTAGATTAGAAATGTCACAAAATATTTATGATAAAACCATGTGATGAAGGATGAAATAATAGGTCAAACACTTAATTTAAAAATGTAAAGAAACCTTCCTTAATCCACATCTCTAACCAACACAATCCTTTCCACACAATTCCCAGTTGAGCAGGCACAATTTGCTTGTGCTACCAGATTATAATAAATTAAAAGAAATCTCCACCTCTTCAATAGTTCTATTGGTAAATGGATTATCAATATCTAGGGGTTTTTTTAAATCCACACAATGGAGTTACTCTAGAGGAGAACTTCAAAACAAAATATTGCAAGTAAAATATTAGATTACAACAGAAAACAATTACCTGAACAGATGCATGTTACTCAACCCACAGAAAGATTAAGAACAGGTTGCCAGATCCCCAAGAAACACCTATCACAAGACACAGCTGATTCACAGAAAGCAACACTTGCAAATACCTAGTTTTGCAATATGGGTTTTAGAGGTCATTTTTTAAAAAGATTTTTAAAAGGTATTGACCCATTAACTAAATAATAATTTAGGGATAATGAGTATAAATACTGGAAAATACTGTAGAAAAGTGTTTTATGGATCATTATTGAAAATTGACTAGTTTTGTCCATATAACAGAATATGCCATAATGATAATTAAGGTCTAGCCATGTTTTGATTAAGAGCCACAAATATCAATAAATATTCAATATTCTAACATGGGCCATGAAACTGCAAGAAAACTAGTAACATTTAAGAAAATAAAAAGCGGACAACACCTTAGTAAACTTGCCTGTTTTGGTATTTGAATGAAAATACAGCAGCCTCCAAGAGAGCATAAAAATGCTGCACAAATTTAGTAGCTTGATTTTTGTTTAAGTGATCTCTACAAATGGCAAGATATGTACTTAAGTCCTAGGTAGCTGATTATTCTTTTAAAAAATATAGCTGCACTTGATGATCATATAGTTCCAAAGTTTAGTTACATCAGAATGCCAATAACTGAAACAGGAATGTCATTCTGGGGGGGGGGGGGGACCGATGTTGAACAAACTGTAGACAGTTTTCTTGCCTGGAAAACAAATTCGCATTAAAGAGTACATACACAGGGGTGAAACCACATACTGGCATACTTTTTCTCTTGTATTTTGAAGGAACATAGGGACCTTCATGCACCAAAAGAGTCTACCAAACAGCTTTATTCTATCTAACTTTAAGTCTGAGACATAAAACTCCAGGAACTAATACTTATGTGTCTGTTTATCTAATTTGACACAGCCAAAGGACTGCAATTCTCAAGACAAACTTGAATGATGTAGCCAAATGGTTAAGGACATGAGTTGGAAATGCAAATGTTTGAATGTCAATTAAGTACTTAAAAGACACTGAATCAGACCATTCCAGCATTCTGTTCACCCTGTGGCTAACAGGAAACTCACAAGCAGGACAGGATTGTAACAGCACCACTGCACCCAAATTCCCCAGCAACTGGTGTTTGTAAGCATACAGCGTCAGATACTTAAAATCTCGCTCTATCCACCTTCCATAGCATTATCCCACACACCAATAATACTCGCCTGCCTCACAAGTTGTTTGTTAGGATTATTGCAAACATGAAGCTCTTTCAACATTTAAAAACAGATTGTTACAGTGGAAGTTTGGGAAACACATGCATTAACAAGATACTTTGGTCTTTGCCATAATTCAAAAGAGCAGACCAGTGTTAAGACAACATTAAGTAACATGCCCATCAAGACTGCCATACTATTCAACTAATACTCTAGAGGCTCGTTTGAGCATTGAAAAATAGGAAGTAACTTCATAAATTTGAAAGAATACAAAATATTAAATATTACAGTAATACAGTAGACTAGAAGTTGGACATGTGAAAAATCAATACTGAAACTATCAGCATTGATTTAGCCCAAAATGCAAAAATACAAAACCATATAATATTTGTGGCAGGAAAATAGGGATATGAGTAACTCCAGATATTCAAGTTAAAGGATGCATTTAAAAACCTTGTTTTTTCATTTACCAAATTGCATCTTGAAACCGAATATGGAGCCCTCTTTCAAACAGTCAGTTAAAAACTGTCTTTTCATGTAAAAAGTTTGACTTCCTACCTCATGCACTCTAAGTATGTCACAACAAATAAAGCCTGTATTTTTGTGTTAAATGATAGGCTTGTATGACTATCAACAGTATGAACTTTTACTTTCCACATAATGCAAACATATTTCTCCAACCAGTAACTACCAGTCCTTAAAAGTCTGGACATTTAAGAATGAGTCCAGAAAGCTACTTAAAATTCCAATCCCATAATTATCACCTCAAAAGTAAATCAGATAGTTGAATAGAACTGGCTCCCAGTAAAGTGAGTACTGGATTGAAACCGTAGGTAACCACAAGTGGCTTTTACCAGAGTATCTACATTTTCTTTTATGAAAAATACCCTCACACACACAACTCCACCAATTGCTTTTGAAATTTTTCTAGATGTCAAAAAGTAGTTCGCAGTAGTTGCATAACCAAAAATTTTAATTATGTAGCTGAGAAGTATTAAAACTCTTACTGCAACTGAATATTATAGTAGAAAAAACAAAATATCAATAAGAGAAACATTACAAGTCAAACCTGATTTTTAAAACTTTCTGCTATTAAGAAATGTTACACAAGCTGTCGTGAAAGAAATTGCACACGTATAAGTTTCTCCTCTACAGAAATATGCAACATTATTCCCCCGCCCCATCTGACCATCATCAGCCGGATACGTTAAAAAAAAAAAACAGCGAAGTATTAAACAGACTTCCTACTCTCCAACAGTTATTACGTCGGCTCTTTACTGAGCGCTCTTATTCTCTCGGGTCCTCAGCCTTTCGTAAACACAAAGTACATACTGCGGAGTCTTAAAGCCCTTCCCGTGAGAATATCTAAAGTAATAAAGAAATAGTTAGAATTCTTGTGGCGGGAAGTACCCCAATCATCAAAAAGGAGGAAGTTCGTTCTCATCCCGAAACCCTACACCTAAGGATAGGAACAAAATTCCCAATCGAACATAACTTATTCCCACCCAACCTCTTGTAAAGCAGAAACGCCAATACCGCCCACAACCAAGTAATTAGATACTAAACCAAGCAGGCCGAACTTCAGACGCTTCCTAAAGTAGGAAAAAGAGTTAGGCCCTCTCCCGAGGAGGCCTGACGCAAAAGCAGGGCCGCCTTCAGGCCTCGCAGAACGCTCGCACGGCTCCACGCCGAGTCGTCAAAACTAAAGGACACCCAAAAAGGCGAAAACAGTTACCTGCGCTGCCGGGGGTCCCGCTTCTAGCTCAGGTGTCTATGAGAAGGTCGGCCGCTTCCTCCAACGTTGTGTACTTGGTCTGGGCTCCGGATGTGCTGTAACGAGGGTTGGGCCTCCAAACGGCAAAAATCTCCCGTCAATGGAGGGAAGAAAACCTAGGAGTAGTCTCGGCCTCCAAAAACTGTATGCAGAAAGCCAAAGCCGAGAAAACTTCTCAATAAGTCGATTCAGACTCGGCTCTAAGTAAAAGCGACTGCTCCCTGAAATGGCGCCCGCCGCGTCCTGATGCCTGGAGGTGGGTCCGCGCAGTCAATGCGGGGCTGCCCAGAGCTCTTTGCACGGGCTCTCGCGAGATTTCGCCACAAGACGTCTTGGACGTGTTCCGAACTACGCCAACAAAGCATCTATCGCGAGGAAAGCTATCTCAGAGAAAACTCGTCTAGAGACTCGCGAGAATATTTTGTTTGTGTAGCCTCATCCAAAAACCGTATCTTCTCGGAGAGCCTAGGACTCTCGCGAGAATTATTGGAGCATCAAAAGTTACAATAAAAAGGATCAAGCGTAACGGTTCTTACTCCAGATGAAAGATTAAAATTCTTACATGTTTGGAGACCAAAATTCTTCCTGATTTCTCATTTTATTATGCAGGTTACCAAGCCCTTTGAAATACGCTTTTACTGGCAGTTATGCGTTCATGAAAACTGGAGTTCGTATTTCTGATGTTGAACATCTTACTATTTGAAGAGTGAAATGTACCTTGACTATGGAACAAGGGAAAATATAACTCCAGTCTACTGATTTAAAAAAGTCATGCTCAGAGTGCAGATATTTAATGGAAGATAGGTCATCAGAAATGGTGTGTTTAGCCTTTTAAAAATTCTGTTAAATAATGTTTAGAATGCAATTCAGTACACATATCTAGGAATATGTCCTACTGAATTCAATACTAATGGGGAACAAATCAAACAAAATATAAGGACCAAAAAAGACACATTCAGAAAGAGAGAAATAAGAGAAGAATTAAACAAAATTACTGATTTACAACATCACTGACATTTTCAATATTTCTAATTTATTGTTCTGGTTCCAATAGCTAATAAAGGGTGGTCCCTTTGCATCAGTAGAGGGATCTGGCCTGGCAGCAACTCACCAAGAAAGGGGTTTTATGTCAGGATCAGGGTCTGAGTGACCCTGCCAGGGTCTTCAGAACCAGGAACACTTTTGCAGGCACTTGCAGGGAACACATGAGCAACAATTAAGCAGTGTGGCTGGAGGCCCTGGAGAACAGCATAAAAGGCTTCCTGACACTGCTGCTCTTTCTCACAGCAACACAAGTAATCTCTTGTGCTCTGGCCGCTGCATCACCATGCCTTGAACCTTGCTCCTGCCCTGCTCCAGTTTGTGCCTGCCTTACTCCATTGTGCCCCAGTCTGCTCCTGCTTGCTCTAGTTGTTCCTGCCTTGCTCTGGTTAGTCCCTAACTTGTATCACTCTGTTCTTGCCTTGCTCCTGTTTGATCCTGTGTACTCTAGTCTGCCCTTGCCTTGCTCCTGTGTGTTTTTGTTTGTTCCAGTTGTTCCTCCCCTACTCCAACCCACTCATGTTGGAACCACACTTCATGGCATCAGATCACTGTACTCTATCTTTTCTACACTATATTGGATTGCTGTTGACCATGCCACCCACTTTGAGCCCTACCAAGGGCTAGAGCTCGCTTTGCATCAGCACTCTGGTTCCGCTGCTCTGCCTACCTCAGCTGCTGCCGACCCTTACATTGTATTTGTTTAATAAACATCTCAACAAGATGTTGGGATTTTCGTGGATGCCTCAGTGAAATGTCAGTCCATTGAAAAGTTGCTGTGGGAAAACTGTACTGCATGCTAGGGGACATTAGGAATGCAGGTGAAAATAAATTTGCCTTATACCAATCCAGGACCACAGTTGGACCATCTTGTACAGTCCTGGTCACTGCGCCTCAAAAATCATATTGTAGAGTTGGAAAATGCAAATATGAAGATAATCAAGGGTCTGGAGCAACTCTCCTATGAGGAAAGATCCAGTATTTGGAATTCTTTAGTAAAAAGGTAAGTAAGGAGGGACATGATAGGATGATATAAAATTATGCAGAGTATAGAAAAAGTGGATAGGGGTATGTTTTCCTCCATACATACATACATACATATATAAAAGTATTTTATATATATATATATATATTTCCTCCATATACATACATATATATAATTATACTAGAATACAGCATTATCCAATTAATCAAAATAATGGAAGAGTAAGGAAAGATAAACAGAAATTCACATTGCAATAGTTCATTATTTATTTCATTTGTATATTGCCCCACACCTTAAGCTCTTGGGATGGTTTACACAGTCCATAAAAGCAGATGATAAAAGTATGGTAAAATCAGTATCATAAAATCAGAAAGTATCAGAAAATCAGAAAAAATAAAGTTTTAAACAAGAAAACAAGAAGAACAAGAATAACAAAAAATGGGGAAGAGTGATTCTGCAAAATACTTGGCAATCCCCCTCAAGCCCCTGGGTGGCCAAATAAGTCTTTAAAAGCCTCAGAAAAGAGGGTCAGCTTAACCTGGCACCAAAAAGATTTGGCACCAGTCAGGCTGCAGTGGGCAAGTTATTCAAGAGATGGGGGCTACCACCAAGAAAGCCTTCCCCTTTGTTGCTACATCTCTGCACCTCCCTTGGAGTTGGCATTCAGTGGAAGCCCCCAGAGGTTAAGTGTAGTGTTATGGTTTGAACTATTATACATGCTACCACGAGATGAGACAGGTTGCAAACTGAGACAGCATGATAAGGGATTTATATAATTTACAGAGGACAAAAGCATCAATGCCTACAAGCCATGTTGGCTATATCAGTATCTAAGGCAGTATGCCTCTTTATACAAACTAATAGGGAGCACAAGATGCTATTGCACTCATGTCCTGCTTGTGAACTTCACACGGGCATCTGGTTTCTTGCTGTGATCACACTGGTTTTGGTTTTCCCCACTGTGGGGTGAAAAATGCTGTATTATAAACACAGCAGACCAGGGGGTGAGGGGAAGGCTGGATGACCTCATCAGCATTTTGCGGCCTGAATTACATTACAGAGTGGGGTCACATGCCCTGATGTCAAAGTGATGAGGGCATTTTTCATCATGTCATTTGGTCCTAGCAGTACATCAGCATGATGATCCTCCTGGTATGTTATAATTGTAAATAAAAGGGCACAAATAAAAGGACGTCGTGGCCACTGGTCACCAGTGCACACAACAAGAGGATGATCCTTCATTGGGAACCAGCTCTGCTGCATGTGCATCTTCTCTGACTGGAGAAAGCTTGCATGTAGTGAAGCTATTTCACCCGCCCTACACCTTCTTCTCTTCGGAAAAGGACACAGGCAGTGACATCCCCTCATCCTCTTATTTCCAGTCTGTGATCAGAGGTAAGAAAAGGACTGTCTGCCTCCTCACAAAGCCCCAATAGCCTCGAAGGTGTGGGGAGAGCTTGGAGAAGAGGTAGGGGCTGTGAAGGATGTCCAAGCCTGTGTGGGCTGAACGGACAACCAACATGGGTTGGATTATGCCTGTGGACTGGAGACTGTCCTCTGTTGTACTTGATAGGCCATGAGGACTATTTGTTCTTTGAAATATCTCTGTTCATGTATCCATGTACAAAATGTCAAATATTTTCATAAACTCTTGTGAAATTGTAGGAATATTGTATTTGCACAAATTAACAAAGCCATGTTTAAAACCTTTAGTTTTAATTAAAGAATCCTTAAAGCATCATGGTACACCATTAACCTGCTTATATGCCAAGTAACATATTTCATTTGCAGCCAATATATTGGAACATTAGGGAACAACCACCAAACATAATCTATCTGCTGCCTGAGCATTATTTACTTAAATATATTAATATAATTACTCTATTTAGAGACTAAATATAATTAAAAGCTTAAGCTTCTCCTCCAAATGTTGATGGTTGCAGGGAATTAGGATGATGTGCTAATGACTCTATCACTTCCACTAGCCTGGAGCTGGTGTAGTTGATTCCTACCCTCACCACCATGGTCAGTAGGGAGGAAATTGAAAACATTGAAATTGAAAATGTCTGCCCTGGATCTGCTGTTTCTCATGGAAGTTATATATCTCCCAGATAAGACTCAATAAAGAAAATGACTAAGAAATAACAAAGTATGAACAGAAAGCTTAGAAACAAATGAGAAGAGTGCAAAGTAGAAAATATGTGTGTATATTTGTTTGGTCATCTAATTTGCATTCCCGTAGTTGTGACCATCTTCATTTCGGACAGCTTCTACAACTAACAAAGGGCTCATTTAAATGTAAATGCATGTGGAAAATATGGAACAAACTGTAGGTTAAAAAAGCAGTGCTTTACACACAGTAAGCAAAATAGTAATATTGAATACTACTCTGTGTAAATGTCCTACTATTGCCTGATTTATCTACTCAACTATCTTTATACATTTATACAGATGTATTAAAGAATCGAAAATTAAAGATACACTTCCTAATAAAAATTCAGGAGAAATACAATGAAAATCAGAAATATACTTTGCATTCCAGAACATCCTAAAATTGTAAAGCATTCATTCTTCCTTGTAGAACTACTTACGCATTTGGCATATCCAATAACGTCCAGTTGAGCCCTGTTCACCCTAAATCTAAATTCTGTATTTAGTGTTCCCATATTTTAGCAATTCTAACACATTAATTAGAAATATGTGCCTGGTGCTTATTCAGTCTCTCAAGTGCAGTGTTCTGGTTAACACTACTGATTTAAGAGGAGAGTTAAAGGCTTCTGGGGAAAACTGAAAAGATGTTGCTTTCTCTGGATAATACTGTGAATACCTTTCAACAGAAGTTAGATAAAGATCTGAGCACCTCTAGAAGAAATCTAGAAATGAGTTTGTAGTACCTGTTTGATAAATATAACACAATCAAGGGTAAAGAAGTAGTTATGGAAAAACAGTAGCAGTGCTTGCCTCTATTGGTTAAAATGTATTTAAAACTTCAATATTGACAAATGTTGGGACTGTGGAGCTATACACCTGCTTTTCTACATATTGTTTGGACATGTGTCAAGGTTAAAGGATTGGGAAGTGAGGGGGGTGCTGTTACATGGCTTGTTCCTGATCCTCCAAACAATTATTTGGAGGATAATGAATGTGACATCTGAATGTGAATGTGACATCTGAATGCAGCATTACAATTTGCATGCCCCACTTTCCTGAGCAATGAGAAGATCCAAGGAACC